GGCAGGGTACAGTCAGCCATCCCTACAGCCGACGGTGGGCACTGCCCTACCGTTTTCTGGTCCTTTCCGTGGGCATCTATGTGCCTCCCTTACCAGAAGGGAGGGAGGAGGTCCCTGGCCATGTGGCTACGGCAGAATGACAGGGACAGAGTGACATGGTAGGGTGGCTTTGCAGAGGAACACAGCAGCCATCATACTAGACTTTAGCCCTGCCTGTGAGGCAGTGACCAAGGGGACAAACCTACTTACAAGACAAAGTGAAACCAGGCGTCCGAGAGGATGGACTGAAGATCTGAGGGTCTCAGCAGGAAGATGGCGATGCCCTGAGGCCAGAAAGAAAAGAAAAGCTGAATCAGCCTCCTTTCATTCAGAGACAAGGGAAGAAAAAAGCTGCCCCCTCTTCATGCCCCTTGCTGGAGCATCTGGGGAAGGGGGCGTTCCCCCGGGACTGGACTCAGGGAGCAGGGAGCATGTGAAGGCCCAGCCAGAGCCCAGGTGAGGGATGCGGAAGGGGACTTGTGCCTGGGGTCAGAGGCAACCCCAGGGGAAAAGTGGGTGCTCCCCCCAATCTTCTTACATCTCTCACTCTCACCCCAGAACCCGCAAAGCAGCACAACCACACGGTGAGCAGCCGTTCCCTACACACGGCCTTTGTTCACGCTGTTCCCCACACCTGCCCTGTAATACCTTCTCCCCAGTGTCCCCATGCCAACGCACCCCCACACCAGAGTAAGTGCCCTCTCTACCTTCAAGCCTTCCCTACTTCTCCCTGCCCCCAGGTAAAAGTCATCTCTGTTCTGAGCCCTGGTCGGAGCCCAACGTTGGGCCCTTTTCGAGGTCTATCTTAAAGTCTAGATATTTCTGTCCATCTGAAATCCCCTACCAGAGCATGAGCTCAAAGAAGGCAGACTCCCTCCATCTCGGGCCCCACATATAGAAGGTCTTCAGAATATACCAGCTCATTCATCGGCTGGGTAGATGAATGGATCAATTGACAATCAGATGGAAAGATGGTTGGATGAAGGATGGAAGGACAGTGGGTAAGGATGAGTCGGGGTTTGAATGGATGAATGAGCAGCTGGATCAATGAGAGAGGGCAGGTGACTGGGTAGATGGATGGATAGATGATGGATGGATGGAGGGACGGGTAGATGGGTCACTGAGTGGCTGGGAGCGTAGATAAATGGCACTTAATTGCACAGACGGATGGAGGGATGGATAGACACAGTAGGTAGGATAAGCCTGCTTATTTATTTATTTCCATTTTGTAACTAAATGTAAATCTAAAGGTTAAAAAGGAAATGCCTCCCCGAAGTCCCCCAGTGATAGTGGCAGAGCAGGGCACAACCGAAGCCAGGTTCGTGCCAGTCCGGGGGAAGCCCGGTGACCCACTCACCTCTTTCACAGAAATGCACATGGCCCAGATGAGCACGAACATCCTTCCTAGCAGCTGCAGCCACGCCATTTTGTGCGTGAGGGCCAAGGGGTGTGGCAGGGCCTGGGGAGGAAGGCAGAGGAATAGATGGGTGCGGGGTGGGGAGTAAGGAAGGCAAGGGTAGCGCCGGCTCTGGGGGCACCACGCACAGACACATGCCGAACCCTTGAGCTGGGCCAGGGGCCAGCATGAAGCCCAGTCTCTGTAAGCGTGAGCGAAGGAATGGCAGCCCCGGCCTGCCTCCCCTACCCACAGTGGGAACCCAGAATTCTGCAGTGAGATGCATGATCCGATCGGTGCTAACAATCCCTCACACTTCGTGGCATTTGTCTGTTCCACCTGTATCCGGACACCCACGGGGCCTCGTGACAGTTAAAGCCAAGACTCTGTGTCTCTTGTAATGGATGGGAAGCCAAGGCCCAGAGGGGTGGGACTGCTTCTCCAAGTGCCCTCCTCCTCTTCCCATTGCCTGTGGCGCTCGCAGCAGAAACACCCAATCTGCT